TACAAATTAACGTCACGTTTTATGGAACTTACCTGTAAAACCAGTTAACACTTTGGGTAAGTGTCGATACATATCTTGCTGCATATGTTGGTGTTACTACAAGTTAATAATTTATTTCTGGGATTTTAGTTCGCGTGTTTAAATTTCGCGAGGATTTTCATTCGCGGGTCTTTAATTTCGAGATTTTTCTACAATCGCGAAAAACACGAAATTTAAATTTCGTACCCAGATCTCAATCTGTCTTCAGCTAAACCATTGGCCGTAGGAAATCTGGGTACGAGATTAGCTGATTGCAAAAGAAAGAGTGTTTTATTGTCTTCCTTTTTTTTTTCTCAATCCCCTGGACGAGTGGAAAATTCTTCGCGAGCAAATAGAATACGAAGGGAAGCTGGGGCAAGGAGCGTTCGGTGTGGTTTACAAAGCAATGCTTTGGGAAAGAATTGGGATAGAGGTGTTTAGCACAGAGGTTTCAAAACGGAAACTGTTATCCAGTAAGACGGAGCCTCGGGTGGTTGCTGTCAAAGTTTTACTTGGTGAGACTAAAAACGAAATTAATGCATGACCATACAAATAATAATAAAAAAAAAATTTTCATTTTCTCGTTATATTACCAGCTCTAGGCAGGTGTTTCGGAATTACTACTTATGCCCTAGATGCAAGAACCGAGTTGCCACATTTAATTTCTAAACGAGTAAGTTCATTTTGAATCCAAAGCTCTGGAATTGGTGCTTATTACGACGCACAACATCATTCGAGTGATTTGTTATATAGATGAAACTTTTGAACCAGAAAAATTCATTAAACCTGGCAGAATGGCGGTCGTCGGTCAACTGTTACCCTCTGACGTCATAGATTTTGCAATATTGCCCGCTGAGATATTTTGGCGGGAAACAGTTTCATTGCTAGATTTCCTTGACCTCGAAGTAACCAATGAGAGCGCGCGCTGTTAAAATAATTCCAGCTATATAATAATATACACATAATGTCAGATCCCGAGGGAAACAGTTATTTGTTTGTTTTCCCGAGAGTCCTGTTGTTTCCCGAGACGGAGTCGAGGGAAATATCAGGACTCGAGGAAAAAAAACTAACTGGTTTTCCGAGGGACCTGACATTTAGGGTTTTGTTATATTTCTAGCCTTTCACTTCAACAGCGACAAAAGAATAACCGATAACCGGAGCGAATCAAAACAGTGGAATCGGTTCATATAAGAACACAAATTTAATTCTCAAAACCACTAAATGAATGATTTGCAATGTACTTTTCTTATATTATCTGCATCTCTTTCCTCCCCTGGCTGCTGTTTTTCTTCAGGGGTAACTTCGAAAATCGTTGTTTTTAGCTTGAGGCTTCATGGTTGTGTTGTGGAGTCTCGTTGTATGAAAACTAGTAGCGTTTTTCCCGCCTTCTTTCACGCCACTTTCCACCATGCTTTGATCACGTGCTTTAATGTATCCCGAGCGGAGAACTATTGCTCAAATGTATCACAATTAATCGGGATACATTTGATTTTTGTCAAGGCCATATGACCAATAATCAACCAATGGCAGTCCCTGTTTAGTCGATTGAAAGTCTAGGAATATAACAATGGACGTTGTCACTCAACTAAACAGGGACTACCATTGGTTGATTCTTGGTCACGTGGCCCGATCGTCCCGTATCCCGATCGTGTTACATTAACCAATGTACCCCACTCGGACTACATTACAGCACGTGATCAAAACATGGTAGAAGGTGGTGTGACAGAAGGCGGGAAAAACACTGCCAGTTTTCTTTTTCGTGAATGAACACAACAACTTGAACACAAGCACGAAGCTTCAAGCGAAAAAGCAACGATTTTAAACTCATCCCAGAAGAGAAACATCAGTGGAGGAAAAAGATGCAGATAATATAAGGAAAGAACTTTGTAAATCATTCATTCAGTGGTTTTAAGAATTAAATTTGTGTCGTTATAAGTACCGAGTGGACTGTTTTGGTTCGCTCCAGTTGTTCTTTTGTAAACTGGGTTCAGTTAACTTTTACAAAGACTGCTGGGACTGTTACTGGGAACAGGGGAAGAATGGCCAATAGCTGACCTGCGCGTGCGCGTCCTAAATAACGATCCCAGGAGCCTTTGCGAAAGCTAACTCGGCCCAGCCTCCTCCCCGTTTCTAAAGTGGAAGTCGAATTCAACAGAAAAAGTACCGCGCCAATACGTTTTAATGTGTTTAGATAATCCTAGCGCAGCACAGAAAGAAGAATTCCAGTTTGAGATCGAGCAGATGAAGCAGTTAGGTTCACATCCGAACGTTGTTTCTTTGGTTGGTTGCTGCACGCTTCTGGATGAAAAGTTCCTGGTGATAGAGTATGTTCCTTTTGGAGATCTGCTGACATGGTTACGCTGTAAAAGGAACAGGGTGAGAAAATGAAGAAAATTCTACAATGTACTTTGAACTAGGGTTACTGAAGAAAAAAAAGGAAAAGGGTTTGCCTCTTTAGAAACGAGAAGGAACATGCCCGGTTTTCCCCTTTTTCGATTGCGAAATATTAAGTATTTTCGCGTTATTTCCCCCTTATTTCTCTCGCTTCCCACCCTATTACAGCACACGCCTCCCGCCCTTTCCTCTTCCGCTTTCCGTACCCCCCCCCCCCTCCTCAATTTTTAGCTCCGAATTCTCATTTCAGAACGATATGGAGCTAGAAGCTTTAGCTTGGACCCAATTGTTAATAACAAGTACGTTTAGCTGTGTGAACAAAATATGACGCTATACGTAGCATTAGAGTAGCCAAAGCGAGGTGTTTTCACTTTTTGATGTTGCTGAATCTTGTAGATCTACACACGCCAAGCCTCCAAGAAAATCTACGACGACAGAGTGGGTTTGAAAGATGACGAAAACGCCAAAAATCAGGTAGGGATAAACTAAACGCTATGTTCGAATGGTCTTAAAATTGCAGTCAGAAGTTTTAAGCTTATGTGTAACTAGATCACATGCTTTGATACCAATAAGTAACATGTCCAGGAGGACAATAAAACGGTTTTTGTATGCGATAAGCATGGCTAAGCCTGTAGAGCGTCGAGTCAGTGAGTGGCTTAGACAGACCAATGGGGCTTATCATGTTGACAGTGCTATATGAAGTCCATTTTCGCGAGCTTCTATTCGTATCCTACAGTACCATCATGTACATAATCTAAGAGTATAACAAGACGCTACGGAGCGTACACTTCGGCGTCGTGGTTCTGGAACTGATTTATAGTAGATGCGGAGGAATAGTAAGAAATGAAATATGGTAAGAGCAAGATGTTAATTTGTTAAATTATGGGATTTGTCAGGGTATTCTGCAAAGAGCAACATCCAAGAGGCCTACTTGCCAAAAACTAGCATTTCGGGACAAATTGTCCCAGTTGCGCTCTGATGACTCCATACAAATCCTTCTAAATTTGACTTGGGTCTAAACGTTTATTCCTAAGTCAAATATGAGGTTACTGGCGGTGAATAACAAGTCTAATGAAACAAACAGTGAAAAAAGAATTCTCTATTTTTCTTAGTCACATCAGGCTTCAAAAACAGCATAGCAGGCTCATGTACTGATTAAAGATATGTAAGGCATGGGTAAGGAGTCAATTACGTTGAGCGTGGAATTGGCTGTTACGAGTTCGAATGTTTCGGGTGTTTATTCACTGACTATCAGCACGCAGGAATGTCGGATTAACACAAAGAAGTTTAATACCAAAGGAACATAGCCTTTTCAGAGCGTTAAAACACAGCATCCGCCAACACAAACCTGACTTGAACTTAAGTACAACTAAACAGCCTCTACCAATAATAACAAACTCTCACTTGAACTTCAGATATCTTACGGCTTCCGCCAACTTGTAAACACAGAACTTGAAAATCGACCTTCGTCACACTTGACTAAACACAGCAGTCCAGCTCGTGGGAAAAAACTTAGTTCGTCAAAAGACCTCGCCTGGAACTTGTATACCGTTTGACATAAGGTTCTATAAAATACTAAACGGGCGAATAGTAGTAGCTTTTCGACCTATTTTATGATTTCAGTAACTGATGCAAATCTGCTGACTCATGCTGAAATGTAAACATGCCCTAATTAATTATTCATGAATAATCCAAAAAAGTAGAGAACGTTCGAGAAAGTCACGCAACGCATGAAAGCAATATTACTACGTAACACTCAACAAAGACAAAATGTCTTTGTGCAGCATTTTGTAACTTTAAATTCATCATAAAGCAGTTCGAAAAGAAGGGCTCACTCGTGAAATGTTTTTCAACACTCAAAGAGAAATTTCGTGTCTCTGCGCGGCCACGTAATATTCTCTATTTATTTCTCGAGTAAATTAAAGACTAAACTCGAAGTGATCTCAAGATATCACAAAGTAGTCCGGTTTCATTTCGTGAAATGGCCAAAACAAGCCGAAAGTCGAGAACTTGCACGCCCAATCTTGTCCCGAAACTAGTGCATCATTTCATAACTATTTTTCATATCCCGAACTACCTTAGGTCGCAGTAGCGCAATCTGCTAATCCCTCAACTAAGAGTCTCCTCTGACCTGACGGGTCACACAGGTGAGTCGGTTCAAACCCCGGGGAAGCCAAAATAACAAGACGCTGTGTGAGCGTATATTTGGGCGTGGTCGTACTACGGGTATGATACTTTGAACATGCCTTATTGCAGCTAAAGAACTGTCATCATATCTTACCAGAGAAGACAAATCATTGACTCCACTTGTTTGCTGAACCACACAACTTATACAGTATGTCCCAATCCGCAACAAAAATAGTGTCATTTCACGACAATGTTTAAAAATATGCACATCTTCAATGCAGACATGCTTGGAGCCAAATTGCAACATAGGACATAAGTGGTTACAGCCCGGGGAGTAAGGTTTGTCTCAGCTCTATTGATACTGACAGATGGTCAACATTGCTTGAGAAAAAGTGAGGTTCAAAGATGGTAATACGTACACCTTTAAGTTCATATATATCCTCATTCCCATGCAGAGTCTTAAAATATTGTATTAATTTATGCATGGATGGTATTTCCAACAATACACATGTCCCTTCACTATGACTGTTATGATACATATCTCTAGCATGAGAATCAAATACATTATATACCCCAGCCTCAGTGCTGTAGATACCAACACCAATAATTGCCACCGTTAAAATGAATGAGTTGTAGTTCAGTGCCAAGAGTGTTTGAAATGCTGTAACCTGTGAGTGGCATATACAGTAGTGATGGATGTTACAAGTATAACTGTCACTGTATTCAAGGTGGAAAAATTGCTCAAACACTGTAACCATTCCTGGCAATTCTGTTAACATTGACATAGATTGTCTTGCAAGCAGTGACAGACAAGAATATAATTGAATACCAACAATCATTATTTGAGTCATATCATCAACTGAAGTCATCTTTGTTATCTTACTGTAAATTAAAGCGCACAGACTCATTGCGACACATCGTTGTCCACCATTTTCCCCAAAACCTGTAACATTTCCTTGACAGTATGGAGCATTAACTGTTTTTGTAGCATCTACATAAACTGAAGGTTCTGGATTCTTCTCTATATCATTACAAAGCTTAAATTGGCCAAAATTAACCCGGTGATTCAAACTGTTTTAAGCACTATAAAATGGATAATTACATGTACAGAGGGGCAAATTCTTACTTAGAAGCCTATTTGGATATCTCATTCCACCTAAATCACCTGTGCTCTGCTGCTTGGACGACAGATACACCTCCTCGTTTACGAACTAGTTTTGTAGTTGTCCCTTAAGTAAAAACCTCACACTGTTACTGTTACTTCTGTACCTGTTTAAGTGTAAACCTTTTCTACTTCTAACGTAACAATGAATTTCAGACGACAATGGTGTATTTTTCCGAATACTCTTCCATACAAAAAGTGTCACTTTCCGTGTTTTCTGTGACAAAGATTTTAAATTTGTTCATTGGTAGTCTGCTAGGGGCATGACGGTAAACGGTCTTTTTGTTCCATGGTCAGATCGTTGACATCGTTCCAAGTCAGATCGTTCCAATCAATAGTCAGATCGTTCCATAAAATAGTCAGTTCGTTCCACAAAAAAGTCAGTTCGTTCCACATATGAAAAGTCAAGTAAATCTTTCTAAATTTGTTGAGTGAACTTTATCGAGAAGAAAAAGGTTTCGTTCATACCACAAGCTGATAACATAATAATCGATCCAAAGTCGGTTCGATCCATACTAAATCGTTTGAAAACAAACAAGAGACGATTTCAACCAGCCACGGGCTTTAACATTTAAACCGCTGCTTTGAGAGTTTTGAGCTAGAATCGATCAATAGTTTTGAAAGATATAGCACAACAAGTAAAAGCTATGCCGCTCTGAAGGTACAGTATTTCGAAGCGCTTGTAACCTAAATAATTCTTTGCAGCGGCCGATTTATGCAAATTTTGAAAACAACGCGAGTTTCGAATTACAATCTCGATTTTATGGTAATTTGTGATGCCGAAAATATAATGGACTAACCCGGTTTAAACCAATGAAATTGTAAGTTGTGTTATAAATAAATTTCCCACGACGAGATCTCAATTCAACTTCTTTTATTTCCTCCACAACACAATTTTCCTTCTGTACAACTAGCTCATTACCTTCTCTTGTCATCACCTCGCTGCCATCAAAACACTAACAACAAAACTTGCTGATAAAGCAAAATCCCGACGCACAGCATCGTATGAAAAAACACAACACGCACTACAAAAACAAGTACATTAACCGTCACCCTGCTAAACAAAATTGAAATAATAAAAAGAATTGTTGCAGTTATCACAGTAGTTCCAAAAGAAGCCTCAATCCCTTTTGGTTTCAATTGTTGACAATCGTCTCTTCCTTCATCGGAACAGATTTTTATCACGGGCAACTCGTTGTGCTCCGTAATGCAAAAATCAAAATCACTATTGTCACAGTCATAACCAGCTACACAAACCTTGCGACTCTCAAACTTGTTAAACATTCCTCTGTTAAAACTCTTATCCATTTTACACGTACATTCCTGACATTCCGATTTGTTATTATGTCTATGGGGTCCATGAGTCTTTCATGTCATTGAATGTCTTGATAATTTCCTTTGTTTTTCTTTGAGTTCGCGGACCAGCCCATTCCGAAAACACTCAGTGTTATTTTTTTAGTGTGGGCCTACCGCGAACAGTGTGTGCATTTGTAAGTTTAACCCGGGATAGCATGATTAAACAATATATTAACACGTTCTCCGAAACGCCGCGGCCAAATGTTATCCAAACTGCTTCTCATTGCTGCTTCGAAAAATTTCGGATCAATCGATATCCAAATCGTCCCTCATTGGATCATCCACTCGACGTAACAAAATCGACCAATCACAAAAAATGGACATAAAATAAAGAAAACAGCAAATTCAGATGACCTCTTAGGAAACATGTAGCAAAAACTGTCTTTCTATGATTGGTGCATTTCGATCCTCTCGTCAAGAAAAATGTCAGACGTCAATCATCTTAGCGGACCTCTTAGGAAACGAAAGTTTTCTTCAACGGGTTCAAAAGGTCATTGTTTATGATTTGTGATTGGTGGATTTCGATCCGTTTTTGTGTTTCTGTGTTTCAAGGTTCTTTGCTTGCGATCTTATTGTGACCAAAACCCGACGTTAATATTCCAAATATTTTTGATAGATTTCATCCCTGGACTTCAGACTTCCAAATTTCGATGAGGCAAAAATACTGAAGATTCAGATTAACTTTAGAGATCGTAAAAGTGCGATTAAGTGCCGTGTGCAAGCAGAGCTTTCTTTGCCACATGCCTCTTACCTTGTACACGGCGTTCGCATGGCAGACATTCGCCTCGCTTCGCTTGTTTACTTGCCTTGTTTACGTTAGCACGTATTGTGTGCCTATTGCACATTTGCGTCAAAACAAGCCGTTTCCATTACTCTATTTGGGCCACACCCAAATAATAATTCTTTCTTCCTCGAAAAAGTTAAAGAATAAATCAAAGAAATCGAAGTGATCTCAAGATATCTCGAACTAATTCGGCCCTCACCACGCTTGGAAATTTTGACCTAAAATTCGGCCAACTTTTCGCGGCCGCGCGGAGGATTGGGTCCATGTGAATCCAAAAAAAGAAAATGGCGGCTCAAAGGGAACCTGACCAAGTGGAAATTATTAGTGGCATTAAAGGAGCATTAAATCGCCAGAAGTCGAATTTTTCCCGGCGGATTTCCAATGTGCATAAGCTGAGTGATCTAGATCAAACATTTCAAGCGCTAGGGAAAGTGGCTGAGGCTGTTGTGAAGGGAAAATACGGTCCCCTTCGGGATCGATATCAGCATGAAATTTGTCCCATATCTTCCATGTTGGAGCGCACAATGATACGTGCTAAGAAAGGA